CCCCCCCCAAACAGACCCATACTTTACCAGCGGGAGAGGCAGGTATTCGGTTAGTTTTGAGGGGGGGGGCTGAGGAGTGCAGGAAGAAGGGCAGAAGCAATCAGAGCTTTGAATTGTCATGTAGACCACAGGAAATAAGAGGAAGAAGCAAAAGATTTGGGAAGGAGCTTGAAGTATTGAGCTTGGAGATGTGTTGGAGGGGGTTAGAAAAAGTCAGCTGCAAAGCTGAATCTGGGGACCAAGAAGGTAGCGATTGGGAGCTGCCGATGGTGGTGGAGGCGGGAGTGGGGAACAGCAAGGAAGGAGTGAGTGATGGAGAACGAAGCAGGGCAAGGCAGAGTGTGTTTAATTGGCTTTGCAGGCTGGAAGGACAGAGATCCAGAGCACAGCACGTTGCTGTCACACTCCATTACAGCCACTGGCCACATAATGAGAGCCTGTGCAATCAGCTCCCCACAGACCAGTCCCTCAAGCCACACACACACTGTGGACTACTCTGTTGGAAGCTATCAAACACCTTACCTGCCCTGCCTGTGTTCGCTGATGCCAGTTTCAACACACATGCAGCTTTTTTTCCTTCGAATTTCAAGTTCAGATTTTCTTCAATTCTCCGGTGAATCGATGATTCAAACAGGAGCAACTGTGTCGGAAATTCACATTGTTTTGTTTTGCTTTCTTTGTTTTTTTTAACTCAGCTCGAAAACAAGCTCAAGTACCTTTTTTTAAAAATCCAGATTTTACCAATCAGTGTGTTCACAGGTCTTTGGCAGTAGAGCAGGGCGATATGACCAAAGTATTTATCATGATATGCATTTGAAAATTTGCGATAACGATATAACTGACGATATAATTGAGACTAGACAAAATACTTTACAACTTCTCAACTTTATTAATGCAAAAAAAAAAAAACTGTATTGTATTGTGTTGTAAAAATGTATTTTCACTCTAACAAGCAGCTTTTTATCTGCATTAAAATTTAACAGCACAAATGCAAATTCCTTGCTGGCAGTTTAACCAAAAGGCATTTCCAGTGAAAATTGGCTGACATATCCTCAGCAAAACCATGTATAATATCCACAAAACTTAAAAAGAGGTTATACACACACAATATGGTAATATTATGTTTAAGCACAGTACGTATCACTCCGCTAGGCTCCTGCCTACGATAGTCGTAATGTTCCTACAATCCATCAAGTGGTGCGACTTTGTAGCTTAGCAAAGTCGTACTAAAACATTTGACAGGTTTTTGAGCGCCGTGTACCACATAAAATCGTTTCGAGGTCAGTAAACACAACCAGAATTTATACATAAGGCACACGGGATTATAAGGGGCACTGTCGATTTTCAGAAAAATCAAGGGATTGATTTTAAGTGTGCCGTATTTTCCAAAAAACATGGTAATAACAACGGCCCGATAGCACGCTCTACCAAAAATAGTGCTTTGTTGTGTATCTGACGGATGAAAGCTAAACCAGTTCCACACCACTGAAGTTGCAGCATTTTTACAAACCAATTCTGGCTCATCCGTTTCATTCAACGATCTGCTTTCGCCCTTCTCATTCTGCATCACCGCCATGCTTTTTCCACCATGTGCGTATGAAAACAAAGGCACTGCGCATGCGCGTTTTACCCATATTCTATTGCGATATTTCATTTTCTTATCGTTGCCCAACATTATACTGGTATTACCGTGAACGGTATGATATGGCCCAGCCCTATTTGGCATGCATGACAAATGCCTTTGAAGCATTTTGTGGTTCCAGAGCTGATTGAAATCTGCAATATTAAAACAAGTCAAAAAATTAAAACATTATAGATTTGTGTTTATTAGTGGGAATTAAATACTGGTAGGTTTATTATGAGCTTTAGATTGAAACAGGCTTACCATTTTATCCTGGTGCCTGCTCAACTTAGGTGAATATTTATTGAATCGATTTGAATCCCCTCATCGGTCATTAAGAGGTGTGCATTTAAAATGTTGGACAGTAACATTTTGTCTGTTTACATCGAAATGATTGTGAATGTTAGATCAGTTCGGTAATTATTCCCACTCACGCTTTTGCTTCTTTTCTGTTCTTCTCTTTAGTACTGAGGAATTTATTTAACACACCAAAGTGACATAAAAACATAAACTTATAATAGTGTTACTCTGTCTTGTGTTTATTTGTTTTCTTTTGGAACATTTGAAATATCAATGATAGAAATCTTTGAAATATGAATTTTTAGTAAGTAAAACTATATCCAAGGTTTGGGTTTACTGAGCAGGTTTGAGGTCATACACATGCAGGCAGGGAGAAGTGGGAAAGACAAAGTCCAAAAATTTGATGCAGACCTTGTGCACTTCATCTTCCTTCCCAGCTTCTTAACTCATTTCTCACGCTGTCTCCTTTTTTACTCTTACACCTGCTCCACGTTTCACACAGCAACTTTTTTCTTTCACAGTTTCAATCTCACGCTCCATCTTTCACTTGCTAACAGTGGGCTGATCTCTTGCGGCCTTCACATGGAGATTTCTGTATCTCACTTTTTCTATATGCTCTGGGATTTAACTGCCTGGTTGGGGGAAAAGGTGGCTGCTTACCAAAATTTCTTTTCAAGATTTTCTTAATGGAGTTGGGCTGTAAAAACGTGGATGTACAAACTTTTAAAGTGGATTGCAAATGGCAAATTTTAGAAGATGCAATCTGAGTAATCTGCTGCAGACAAAAAAGGAACAGAAAACCAGATGTTTTATTTCGTCCTGTGAAATTTTCTTGCAAATGAAATGTGCACGCTACTTTTACACATCCGGTGTGTGAAAGCCTTCATGCCTAAACTAATAAAAACGTATAAAAAATTAAATATTTTTCAAACAAAAACGAAAATCCACTCTGGCAGCTAACTGAACCTGAACTGAAAATGTAATAAAAATGAATAAGAAAATAGAAAATGATAATAACTTTGCATTAGACTTTGTGTAGGTGAAAGGCAATAGAGTTAATGTACAGTGTTTTGTTGGGTTCATTATTTTTAGATTAAATGTATCTCATTAGGAAAACTGTTAGGAAAAATACGCACACCAGCCCTCAATATTCATAATGAAAAAATGCGGTTTTTAGATTAGCCACAATTGCTTTGTGCAAGAGGAGAAAATGTCTTTAAAAAAAATTCTGTTTGAACTTTGCAAAACCAATGCCAACAGGGGAGACTGACAAAAGCAAAGAGAGATGGGGAAAGAAATGTGAAATCTGAGAAGCAGAGAACGCGTGGGAGTTTAGATCAATAGGTTCTCAGCTGGCCAAAGGTGTCTTCTCCAGAGTTAACAGGTGCTGTGTAGCGTGATTGACAGCTCGATAGGGAAGCTGTCACCTAAGCGTTCTCTCTTTCCACTCATCTTCACAAACATCTCTGAGCACATTGATCCCTTCTCACTTTTTTTTTAGCCCTCCTTTTGTGCTCTACAATACAGTCTGTCTGCTGTCCAGAGCTAAAAAGAAAGCTCATCTTGACCCAGTAAGCCTGTAAGAGCATTTGTTGTTCCATCTATTGTACACATATAGATACAGCAAGGCAATGGAAGCAGTGAGAAGAGAGACTGAAGGCGTTGCTTCAGATTTGCTCGTTAGTTGTTAGTTGATGCCAACAAACAAAACCCAGAACTCCTCCAAGAGTAATTTATGAATGCATAAATTAGTCAGAACTCATGGGAAGAAAGAGAAGCTTAAGCATTAGCTGTTTTTGAATTTTTTATTTCACTAATAAGAAGTTTGGCTGTGCTGCAGAGAGCAGTTGGGATAAAACTGAGCCTGGAATCTGACTATTAGCCCCAGAGAGGTTAAATTATTTAATTACATAACTGTGTGAAAGGTGTTTATTAGGGCAACTTTCATGAGCTCCCAGCAGCTTTTCAGAGCTTTTTTGTCGTTTTAAACATTGTGACAGAAAACAAACACGCAAACTAGTCAGCTGCCATATCTAACCCAAATAGTAAAATAAAAACATCCAATTTAAAAAAAAACTGTTGACTGAGCCCCTGGGCTGGATGAGATTTAGGTTTCTTCAGGCTCTGGATGCTGTGGGGCTGTCTTGGCTGACACACTGGAAAAGTGTGGCGTGCCCACTCGGGGTTGGGAATGAGTTGATGCCTCAGTGGAAGAGTGTCATAGGGTCTTGTTGACAAGTGAAACATCCACGAAGCAAGAATCTAACAGACAGATTGATGTGGCATCTGTAGTAACATGGGTGATGTACCAGCCTGTTGCGGTGATCTGGATACGAGCTCTGAGTAGTGACCAAAAGAACAAGACCACAGATACAAACGGTGGAAAGGAATTTAATCTAAAAGGTGTCTGGGCTCTCCCTTATAGATTGGGTCAGGAGCTTTGTCATGTGGGAAGGACTCAGTGTAGAGCCTCCACAAAAGGAAAGGAGACAATTAAGGTGTCTCAGGTTTCTGACTAGGATGCTTTGTAGGTGAGGTATTTCAGGCATATCCTGCTGGGAAGAAATCCCGGGGCAGTCCCAGGACACGCTGCAAAGATTGTATCTCTCAGCTGGCTTGGGAACACC